CAAAGGAGAAGCCACGCATCTCATACCTGTCCCTGTCCCCAAAAAGCTGCCAGTCTGCACCTGAGACTCAGTAATGATGCAAAAACCCTCCAGGGAGGTGTGGAGTGAGCAGCCACGGGCAGGGGGACATTCTCCTGTCAGCTATCACAGCAAGAAAAACTACATTTTTGATTTTATAAATAAAACATCTCTGCCTGAAGGAGCTGCAAAACGGTGGAATTGTGCAGAGCCAGATTTAATAGCTTCTGCCTTCAAATGTCCTGCCCCTTGGAATTTCTAAGTTTCATCTCTGCCCTAAGAATAAACATCGCCAAGTGGTACTAATAAACACAGGCCTGTGTTTGCCAGTGTAAATAATGATGATATTAAAACTGTGGCATTGGTTTACATGTTTAACCATGGGTTGAATCAACAGTATAATCTTAAATGCCAGTTGGTACTGAATTAGGCTGTTGCTTTTGACCTTTCCGTTTTGGTAGACAGATAAAAAAAAATACCAGAATAGGTTTCCAAAGAGATACAGGTAAGAAATATTTTCCTTGCCTTCCCCTCTTAGGACATATGCACAGATTTTTTTGGTATATAACACTCACCCTGGTAATTAACCAGCTTGAAAACTACCTGAGATTACTTTGGAACAAAGGCTGGTGAATGAATTTACTTCTAAGCCTGAGCAGGAGTGGAAATAGTTCATCTCCCTTGAAGGCAAGCCTTGCAGCTATCATCATCTGAAACCATTAGTACAATAATGGCTCTCATTTGAAGGTGTTATTAAATGCTCAACTTGGGGATGGAATAATCGATACAGATGGTTGGATCTCCCCCGGGTACTGGTAGGAAACTCTCCCAGACAAGGCAGCAAAGGAGAAATGCAAGTGTGGAGGGAGGGGAAACACCCTCCCGGTCTCCATCCCCTCCAGGTGAGCAGCCCCGGAGGGGAGGCAAAGCAAAACCTGGAGCAAGTGGCAAAGGGGTTTCAGGAAGGTGTGAGGTTAGCCAGGTGTGGGGCCAGGGCTGGCTTACTTCACACCCTTTCATATTCTCCTGCTGCTTTTCCTGCTGCTGTTGCACCCTTCCGCTGCCTCCATGGGGGTCTGGCAGCTTACACTGCCATGAACCCCAGCTCCAGGTTTGGCCCTCAATTTGTGCAATAGCAGGGACACAACAAACAGGAAACATTACTCATTTCTTCATCATCTTCAGATGAACCGTGCCTGGTCCCCACACAAAGTCACTTTTGGGCACCTGCAGGTTTAAATCTCTCAGGGTCGTCTCGCCCTGGGCCCCAGGCAGCAGGGCTGGGAGGGAAGGCAGATCCTGGGGGCTCCCTGCAAGCACTGAACCCATCCTACATAGCGTGGTGAGGTGACCTAACCCCAGCTCTGCCACCGTGGCCAGGCTGCTCCCTGCACCCCACATCGTGCTCCCACAGCCGCTTGCTGCATCCCGAAAAGGCTGCAGGTGCATAGAGCCACAGAAGGGCCCTGCACAGCAGTGAGAAAAGCTGGTCCAGCAGTGATGGGAAAGGCAGGAGTAGGGAGGACGCAATTTCTTATAGTAAAATAATTTCTAAGCCGCCTTCTTGCTATGGGCTGTCCCTACCTGTTTTGAGGGGAAGAGAGGACAGGGGGAATAGGACAGGAAATAGAACCACATGCGGTTTCTTTTAATGTGAAAGCATCACTACATCAAGTTTCACACCTGAAGAGCAGTTGCTGCGCTCTGGTTTCCCTTCATGCCAGCGAGTACAGTAGAGCTGCCCCCGCCTCATGCTGCAGCCCAGGGGCTCCGATCTCAGCAGCTGCAAGCATGAAGGTCTGCCCATTTCTCTGCACTGATCTCAGCACAAAAGTGCCAAAGATGGGCAGTCAGCAGGGCTGACCGTTGTGGTATCACTATAAAAGGTGGTGATCTGTGCAAGCACCACCACACCAGCCCCTCTGCCAGCACACCGGCAGTGCGGTAGCGGCAGGAGGACTCCGCAGTGGAGAACTGAGGGTCTTGCTGTGAGCAGGTAGGCACAGACAGGGGAAAAACACATTTATGGACAGAGGAATCAAGGAGGTATGTGCCTCACAGCCTGCTTAATATGTGCCCTTCATTGCAGCCACCTATGCTCCTGCTGAGAAGGACTTATCTCCATGGGATATATTTATCATGCTGGCTGTTTCTGAGGAGGAAAGTTCGGTGCAGATACAGTCCCAACAGACAGGTCAATATACCTTTCGCAGCTTCTGGAAACAGAGTTTTATTAGGCACAACATGTTGATATACGCCCCACAGTTCAGATAACCCTATGTACAGCTTACATTAAGGGCCGTCTTTTCCAAACTGATTTGAGGATTACATCTCATGTCAGGTAGCATGGTCTGTCCTTTTACACAGTCTTATTATTGGTGCATTTATTTATTAGCTATAAAATGATTTCTAGAAAAATACTCTTGACAATTGTCCTTATTCTCCAGAGCCTGAAATTTTAGTGAGAACAACATAAGATGAAAAGGAATGGGGTAGTCCTGTGAGCAGCAGAACCGGCGAAGCGGACACTCCCAGGGATCTGAGCCAGGAGGTTGGGCTCCCACCGTCATCTCTGGTTTCCGGTAAGGCTGAGCTGGCAATGCAGTTTTTCTATCAGTAGGGACATGGTAGATGAAAATGCATGGTTGGGGCAGAGGAGAACAATTTGAATCCAACATGTCAAAAAATGTTTAGGGCTGACAGACAAACACAGAATCATCGGAACTGCATTAGCCTCCTTTCTTTAGGAAAAGAGACAAAACATGAAAGGAGAACTGAGGACAAGAAGTTACAGGTATACCTGGAATACATGTCTGAGAACTATCTTTGGCTTGTAAACTGAAATGACTGAGGAACAGCATCAAGTAGGCTTTAGACACCTTCATGAGGCTACTGCTCAGTGAGGCTCAGCTGGCTTTCAGCTCAACGTAGCTATAGCTCAAGGTGCCTCCTGCCTTATGCTGAGCCCTGAGCTACATGGTCGACTGGATTAAAGTTCTCCAGCTGTATCACACCTACTCCACACTCACTGCCATGGCTACAGAGCAGGCTTTCCCAAAGGCTAAGCAGTTGGAAGGCAGGATGGACAGGGAAAGTGTCCAAGCAAATATCCCAAAGAATACATACGCTATATGCAGCATCTGCATAGGTAAAAGGGAGCAAAATGCTTTCAAGACAAATGCGTTAGATAAAATGAAGCAAAGTCTGGAGATCTGGAACAGTCTCTTGAGTCACAGGATGGAAACCCCTGTCATCAGGAATAGCTAAAATGTACATGGAGATGATGCTTGAAATGTCTTAGCACAGACACTCCTTGAGTGCTTGGGGATGAAGCAGAAGCATCACGAGAACCAAGTAACAGCTTGCCCCGCCTGAGAGCAGGTTTCCAGTAACAATGCTTTGCTGAAGCTTCCCAACATATCCCACTGTACAAATTCGGTTGGGAGGGAGCATTTCCCACAGCCCAGCTGACAAGCCTCAGGACGGAAGTGAGCTGGTAGCGTTATATCCATAAAGGGGACCCACCTGCAGAACATGTTGGGACATCGCTTTCCCTGCCCTGGGCACCATACACTTCTAAGTCTCCTCGCTCTTTGACAGCGGGATGGAAATCAGTGCCTCCATGTTCAGGAGATCTCTGAAGGAGCAATGTGGCCTTTACTGTTTTTGCAAAGTCCAGCCCATTCTGTTCCACATCTGCAGTTCATCCAGTGGTGCTGCACACTCTGTGACAGCAGGAACCCAAAAGGCTACGGTTACGAATATTATATTACTGTATTATTTCTGAGTGCTGCAAATATGCCAGGCACTGAAACTGAAGGGAAACCTTCAGTGCTAGGTCTCCAGTTCAGTCCCTCCGGCTTGCAAAGTTTGGTAAATAGAAATACTCAATGAGGACATGAAATGTGAGTCCAGCATTGGGCCGGTCGAGATTTACCTTGATTAATATAAACAACCAGATGTTAACTGAGTTTGCTCACTTGCATTTAAAGCTGATAAAATAATTTTAAAATCATATAAAAAATATAAAATGCTGAAATGCTTTTTACCCAGTTAATTAACAATTTTGGTATAAATTGTCTTTCTGATTATTTTTTTATTTTATAAGCAATTCATTTCCAAAAAAGGAAATGGTTCAGCCAACTCAGAAAAAGGTGAGAGAATGTTTTATAAAGGCAATTTCCAAATATCAAAACACCATTTCTGAAAATGCCTTATTTAAAAAGAAGGAAATGAAACTAAAAATTTTTTTGCATCTTACATAAAAAACAAGTATTTAGTCCTCCAAAATAATTGTTGCAAAGATAAATGAAACTATCTTCTGGACCACACTGTGTCTGGTCAAAGACAAGAGTTCATTCTCTCTGAAGATAAATTATGACAAACTGGGAATACAATGGACTAGGTTCTGCTCTCATTTCATACCAGTGAAAATCCACTGCCTTTTTATCATTATCCCTTTTTCTTGCTCCAGACAGCTGGGAGGTCTGAAACTCTTTCCATCAACAGTTTCCCACGTCAAGCAATTAAGACTTCAGGCACATTCGTGGGGATGAAGGCAATGATGAAGCAAAGGCAATTAAAATGGTTGCCACCCCAAGCAGCTGTAGTTGTGTTGTATGGTGTGGGCACCACCTCCACTGTCTTAGCCTCTTCCTGCCTCTGGTCCCTTCACACCTCAAATTTTAGCTTGGTTGGTAAGCAGAGCAGCCAGATGAAACTCAGACTTACTCACACTGTCTGAGTGTGAGACATGGGGTCTGGCAGGTCTCACCCAGCCCATGAACATCATGGCCAGCTGCAGTTGTGCTGTAGTGATGCAGCCCAGCCCTATAAACTCCCTTATCATTTATACAAAGCAGAGAAAATGACTTCCCTCTTTGAAGCATAAGACATTTCCCCACCCAACCCCCTCCTTCCAAACCCTTCATGTCTTTGGAAGGTCTTGCATCGGCCCCACAGCAGGCCATTCCTCTGCTGTCTCAGTGGGAGTCCAGGCCATTCTCCTCCAAGCTGCCGAGGGCTTTGGTCTTAATGCGGAGCTTGTGAGGTAGGGCAGCATAGCTTCGGCCCTTCGAATGATCTTCTGAAGGGCAGGGCAGGCTGCACGGGGGTAGAAGAGAAGTTTTGGGCACTTGTTGCTCATCATCTTCATCTGAGACAGTTGTGGTTCTTTCTTTGCTCACCTCAGCTGGACAGAGGGAAGGGCACAAGAAGCAGGCACTGTCTGACAAAGGCAAATGGAAAGCATATTTGTCCAGGCAGTGGTAATTGAGGAGTGGAGAGCAAACTGTGGATCTGAAGGCTGCATCAAGCCTCTTTGGCTGCTGAAGGCCAGGTGTGTCCATGGGAGCTGGCTTTGAGTCACAGCTGAGGATGTTTCTGGATGGGCCAAAGGTTTTGCAGGAAAAGTCCGCTGGCTCCAGCACCTTTGGCACAAAGCTCTTTGTTGTGAAGAAGCAGGACTCCCCAGCAAAGGGCTCGGCCTCGAGGAGTGGGGAGGCCGCTCTGTGCCCTCTGAAATAAACTCCCAGGAAGTCCTGGAGGGAGTGGCCCTGGTAGGTGCTGGTGTCTGGGCTGATGAGCCCAAAGCGCAGCTTTAGGGACAGCAGCTCTGTCCTGAGGATGGCATTCTCCTCGCTGAGAGCAGCCAACTGGCTCTCCATGGCGAAGTCATTGAGGCGCCTCTTCTCCCGTGAGCGCTTGGCTGCCTCGTTGTTCTTGCGCCTCTTCTCCCAGTACATGTTGTCCTTCTTCTCATCCGGCATGAACTCCCGCTTCCGCCGGGAGGGACCGCTCACCTTGCTGTGGAGGAACTTAGCCTTGCTCTGCTGAAGCGCAAGCTCACTGACGGTGCTCAGCGGTGCCATGAAGTTTTCCATGGTCGTGAATACAGCCGGAGTCCTGCCAGAATTAAAACATAAAACTATTACCACTAAAGGTGCTATTAATTAATACCAACAAATAAATTAATATAGCCATGTAATTGTTTTATCTCTGTTGCAGTCACACCAGGAACACTGAGTACAGCACTGTATGCACACATAACCTGAGGACAGCTTCCCTCAACTATTTCTGTCATTTTGGAGCCACGTTTTCAAAATACTGTCAGCACATCAATGCACTCACATCTCACCGGTGTCTGCAAAGTACATTAACGGGTACAAAAAAACATGTGTATGACTGAGCAGAGTTTAAAAGGACATATTTTGCCAACTCAGTGAACAATCACAAACATTTTGCCTAACTAACTTCAATCAGGATAATAAAAATTGCTCTCACATACTACTTATCTCCCACTGATCTCAGACTGCCTTGCAAAGGAAATAAGTCTCATTGCCCCTGTTTTACAGATAAGGAAGGCACAGGGAGAAGAACTGATTTACCTCAGTCACATACCTTAGTTACCAGCTGAAGCAGGGTTACAAATCTACTTACTGCATCTACTTAGTCCTCATTTTTCCCTAAAACCCCTTGCCCCACCCTGGAAAGCTAGATTTGATGAAGTTTGTGATTTTGAAAGGCCTGCAAGAAAATGTGAATGAACTCTATGAAAGTGCCCTCAAGGAGCTTGCAAGTACTTGCATGGCAAGTTCTGAGCAATGATGTGGCACCAAGTCTTGGCACAGAAGTGTCCATCTGAAGACAATGACCACGGTACATTCCTGACTATGGGAAGAAGCTAGCAGAGATGACCTGAGTTGTGCATTAAATTAATAAGACATCACACTCCAGACATCCCCATCTAAGCTACAAGCTTCCTGTAACATGGCGATCTTCCAGGAAAACCACATCAGCCCTCTGGGCTCTGGGCAGACTGGGAGGGATTGTGCTGATCTAGTGTGTGCCTAGAAGTAGGCACCTGCATGAGGTGGTCACCTCAGACACCCTCTATACTTCACAGAGACCTAGTGAGGGAGTTGAGCATTATATGTATCTTACCCTGAAGTAGTCATTTACATTTGATCATCTGAGCTCCCTGGACTGTTGTCTATTGATTGTAAGAAAGCCCAGAGTGACTACTTCTGATTTAGACCTTGCAGGCATCTTAGATCTGGTAGAGAGGAATCACATCTTCTGAGCCTAACTGAAATTTTGGGAAGCTACTTTGTAGAGTCAAGAGGAGATAGCTTGTTATGACAGTTCTACAGGATGGATAGGGAAGGAGCAGAGAAAGGATCCCACTCAGAAATGCTTCACTGCCATACTGCTCAGGACCTAGGTCCCATCTAACAGAAAGTTCGACCAGAGGGAGCAGCCAGCACTGCCCTTGATAAGCTATCACCTCTACAGGATTACCCCAAACTGGTAAAGAGGGGCATACTTGTTTCACTTGTATTAGCAATTAATGCACAGAAGCTTTGGTATTTGCCACATTTCAATCCCCACAGACCTTGCACAAGGCCTTTCATTTTAGCCTCATGACTACGTGACTGTTGGGACCCACAAAGACCAATGTACAAGTAGTGGTCAAGATGCCCTCCACACTGCCTGGAGGGTTGCAGTACACTTTACTAGCACTGCAATGCACTCGTGGCTCACCACATAGCAGGAATAATAATAGTACCTGTTTATATAATTGCAAAGTGCTTTTCTGAGTCATGGGGACAACATCACCAAGGTTCCTGGCAGGGCTAGTCAGAGTGTTGCAGGGAGGAGGGCTGGCTGACATTTTCGGCTGAAAACATTTCCCCTTCCCCCAAGAAAAAAATGTTTCAGGCTGAAAATTGCCCAAACTCGAGGCAATAAAATCAACATAACATCCAAAAGCCAAGTATTATTCAGTTTTTAGCCAGAAACATTCAGTTTGAGCATTTTTGGCTTTCAAATAGCTATTTAGGAATCAAATTAAATGGACATATTCAGAGCTACAGGTGAAGTGATAAGTCAAACTCCTTCAGAAAGCCTGGGCTGTATATGTTCACGCAGTCAGATGCTGTGAACTCATGAAAATCTGGCATGTGACCTTTCTGAAAATCAACACAGCTAATAATCAGCATGACTAATAGCCAACATTCTTGTTAAATCAATTTATTGCATGAGTGACATGAATTACTCTTTTCTTGATGACTGATAACCATCTACAAGCAAAAGGGGAAACTATAATTCAAAATCAATCAGGACATCACTTTGGGCAAGGCCTGTATGTCCCCCTGAACACAGAAGGGCACTAGTTCAATGAAAGACATACAGAAACAGAAATGATAAAGAAGAACCATGTCTGGGTGCTCCACTTGCTCTTCATGAGTATTCACATCAACACTAATCAAAAGACCTCACACGTCTGTGGAAAAAAACCCAATTCCTGAACATTGTCCGCTTGTAGTTTGTGACTAGAGGTTTGGAAAATTTCCAGTGTTCTTCACTTTCCAAGTTTCATGTGAAAGACCACATTTGAACGGTCTAGTTTTCCAAGAATGACTAGTGATTTCTTAAGAATTGAACTCATAAGTCATAGAGAGGACAATATTTTGGAAGCAAAGTACTCTCTCTGTTTTCTCACATAGCTCTTTCTGAATATCAGATCCCTTTTTATGGTTACTCAAGCTAGCACCCAACAAATGAGGCATAAAAGATCACTAGAGGATTTTGAAAATCAAACAGTGCGAGAATGTATGTACAGGAGTTTCATCACATACACAAAGAGTTACATACACATCATAGAGCAGAAATGTGAACACTGAGCCTAAAAATGCCAATCTTCTGTAGAAGCTATTTGATTAAATATTCTGCTGCTTGCAGATAAAATATCAGCTATTTATTTTTACAGATTTAGAGACCTTCAGTAGTGGCAGGTTGTCATCAGCTGTGATCTCTGCACAATGCAGACCTGCAAAATAGACAAATCCACATCTATTTGCTATCCAAGTTTGCTCAGCATGACCAGAGTTTTGTTCTGGCTTAAATTGGGACAAGTTCCATGAAAGTATTCTCTGTCCAAATCAGTGTGATTTTGTAATTAAATACATTTGGAATGCATTTATTTTAATTTAGTCATAAGTCTTCGAGATCTCTAACAGTATGCAAAGGTTCTGAGAGTAACTAAAAACCAAAACAAAGAATGCCCTTTAGCATGAATATGTTTAGGGTAATTCCTCCAGCTTTTGATCAAAATTACTTCTGATCTCAAAGCATCAAAGAGAGAATTTCAGTGAGTGTACCTGTGGTTTCTGACAGCGTCAAGAGGCAGAAATACGCTATTGTTTCAGGGCTTAATCACTTACCAGGAATTTTTCAGGTTAGTATTTGACGTGACTTCTTTGTTGAATGAGTCAAAAGATCAACAGGTGGCTTTTTCACTGTGTAAACTCATCACCCGCATTGGGCAAAGTAGTTTGTTTTCTCCCTGTCCTTCTCTTGCTCCTGGTGCCTGTCATAAGGAGACCCTATAAGAAGTTTCAAGATTACTGTAACCAGCACCCACTGTCCAATATAGCTGGGAAGCATGGGAAATAAAAGGTACCCAAAATAGGCATTTGTGAGACAGAACAAAAAAAGTAATGATGAACTTGAACTCTTCCTTCTGGCAAATTCATTTCAGCACATTTGTTTAGTCTTTGCCACATTTATTCGATCCCTCACACTCTAATCCATTGTGCCAAGGTGGGAATTTCCTTCAGACCCCAACTTAATGCTGTGTGAATTGAAGCAGATGGAAGTGAAATAGTGAGAAGCGAGGGTTGAATCCAGGAGAAGGCAGGAGTCAAACCAGAGGGAGGGCACTGTTACACTTACTTGGAGGTGAGAAAGGTTTGGAAGGAGGTTGGGTGTGAAGTGGGAGGCAGGGGAAGTACTTATCAGAGGCATGATCTGGCCTTTTAAGGGCAAGGAATGAAGATTTAGCTGGGCCAATATGTGAAAGCATCAAGTTTTAGGCCACAGAGTCTAAACTCTACCTGTTATTTATATCTGCAGCCCACAAAGTCGCACATATACCCACACGACATTTGTCTTGGGACTCTTGATGAGTGCAGACTGTAGCAATCAAGCACACAAGGTGACACACAGCTTGTATCCACAAGGACGAGTGGAAACATTAATATTAGTAAAGACGATAAAACCGTTTTGGTCAAGTGCATTACGCAACCAATGTTTCCTAAGGTGCATTGGTATCTGTTGTTTCTGTGGCTATAGATGTAGAAGACAATTACTAATGTCTTTCCAGAACACCAGCCATGTTCTGTCCTATCTGCATCCTGAAGGGAAGAGAAAGCACCAAAAGCATTGTAAAATGATGGTGTTCCTTCATTTTTCGCCTCTGATTTGCACTGAATCTGCTAGTTCCGTTCAGACAGAACATCTTTCCAAAGCCCAGCTTCTCTAGAGAGAGCAGCCTTTGAACTTTTCCAGTCTCTTACCTTTCTGAGCAGGCGGAACGCAAGCCACATATTTTATGCAAAGACTATTAAATACGGGAAGATATACAATAAAAACTATCCTTACCACTTCTACAATGCATCTGATCAACTGCGAAAGACTAAATGTGTAATGTTCTAGTTTAATGCTGACGCAAAACCATTTACACCTCTGTGAAAATGAGGGCATGTTGTATTGAGGTTTTTGTACATGCACTCTATCTACCTGGTCGAAAGATCCTCATTTCTGGTAAAATTGCTTTCCTTCCACTAAGAGAAGACCATGTTAGGGCTCAGGCTTCAGAGATTTGGTTCAGACCTATCTCCCCTTCTTTCTCTTATCTCCACCCTGAGCAGCATCAGACTCTGATGAATTGTACTTTCCAGCAGATTGTACAAAGCCCTCCAGGAAAAACTTATATCTGACAGGAACTGATTCACTGCAGATCTACAAGATGATATACACTTTAATCAAAACACACTGCCTCATAAAACAGCGGTGAGTCTCACTTTTCTGTGATCCTAAG